ACGAGGTGTTGCAAACACTGGAAACACCTCTGTAGGACGCTCCACTTGCCAGCCAGAAAAGAAAAACAAGGACCCCAGTTGTGGCACCCCAACCATGTCTCTGATTCTGGTTAATCAGATTCAGCAGCACTTTCAGAGACTCCCTGCTCAGGCGAGAATCAGGTTTAGTGTCCTCATTATTAAATAACCTGTCCATGACTGGGACACTCAGGTTAATCCTGCAGTACAGGGCTCTGCTCTGGTGAAGGAAAATATCAGAAATTGTTTTATTCTTGTCACTATTATGAATGTTGCTGTTCTTTAAAAAAAAGATTTCACATGTCAAAACATTTTGATTAAAATGTACTGATTCACTGTAAAAGATAAAAGAGCGAATAGTCCAATATAAAATCACACTGCGATTTTCTATCATAGCAAATATATTTAATTAGCTTTTAATTAGCTAGCAAATCTGAAGGCTAGATCATCCCATTTCACAGCCTCGCAATTCGGTCCTCAGCCTTCGAAGGACCCGGCCCACGTAGACCGTGAAGCCGGGTCCCTCAAAGGATGCAGCCTGGGAACTGGGACTCTGTGTTTTGTATGTTTTAAGTGTAATGTGCTCAAGATTCGCTTGAGCACATTACTGCTTTGGCAGTTAAAATTACAAGTTTACAGAGCTGGACCTTTGTGTGAACCAGCTGCTTCACAGAGAGGATGAGACTGAATCAGGCTGTACAGGTTTTACACTTCGACCATAACAAAGATTATTATGGCTATCTTCTCCCAACACGAACGTGGCAGTTTAGAGCGAATCCTCCCCGCTCAGTCCGACCTCACCTCGTATCTGCTTCTCCTGGAATCAGAAAGAAAAGAAAAACAACCCCTCCATAGCCTTGGCTATCTTCTTCTTATTAAGGCCCAGTTCAGGACATCTTGCTTGGACTTCCTGACCCAGAGACTTATTCTAACCATCATAAGCGTATGTGTAAGCATGCAGCAAAAATACCCACTGCACTCTATATGTACCTGCAATATTTCAAATCTACACAATAAAGCTGAATGAAGCTCTTGATCTATGTGCAGATGTCAGGTGTAAATTATAGAATTAGCCTCCTTGAATGGTTTCATTCAACTCTAATATCAAACATCCTTGAAAGTGACTGGCATCTAAATGGGATTTTTCAAGCTGCCGTGTTACGTCTGTATTTTCTTATAATCTCTTTGCCCAAGCAAAGTGCACCAACACTCCTTTAAGGGTGACAGTGTTTATTGGAGAACTTGTGTTGCTGAGTGTGCCTGACATACACATTTCTATTCATGTTTGCAGAAGCAAATAAAAGTAGAAAGTCTGAGGTGTGAAGCCTTGGCGCCTGCAGCCATCTATTAACCCGACAAGGTCAAGACAGTGACGGCATAACGATGACGTTTCCTTGGCAGAAGCGCCGGACGCCCCGGTGTGACTCCTTCTGTTGGCACTCGCTGGAAATTTTCCAGCCAAACACAAAAGCAGCTACAGAAAAAAAGCATTTTCTCCTCCGTCGAGCCTGACGCAGCCTTCCACCGTCGACTGTTTGAGTGTTGCCTGGAAACCTGCTCGAGCTTGCTTACATGTAGTAAAACGGGAACATCGGCACATCCCTCCAACGCACCATCACATCGCCACAGCAACGATGGAGAACGGGCTGGCTTCGGTCCCACATTGCTGTCCTCTCATTGGAGCATCTGCCGGCGTCGTCTTGCTCGCCACGCCCACTGTTACATCGCAGCTTCAAAGCTGGAAGCAGCTGTCAGATCTAAAAGCTTCCCACACCTGGTGCCAATGTGGAGGCTGAAGAAATGAGGCTCAAGATGTTTGAGCAGTACTGTAACTAAACATGTGTTTAAATTCTCTATTGCAAAAATGTGAAAGTTTGTTGGAACCTCTGAGATGTGGAAACACTTCAGCAGCTCTATGTTTCACTACTTTTATTCAGCTGTATTCAGTTCTGTGTTTTATGTGAAGGGATCCTTTTTGGTTTGCACGTCTTGGTTTTTCCTCACGTTGTACACTTGGAGAACTTTCTGCAGTTGAACATGTCTGCGTTTTCACTCCGACGCTGGGATTTCACGAAGACATGGCTGACCGTGATGAGTTTTAACCCAGAAGATGTTGTTTCACATGTACAGTAGTTACCGTGGCCCGAATGTCTCAACAAACCTGACTGCTGGTCCATATTAGGTCCACCTGTGGGTAAAATAAGTTCAATGTTTGTCCTCTGTAAGCTGCTGGATAGCGTAGTGGTAACGCTACACGCCTTTGGACTGGCAGTTGCATGTTCGATTCCTGCCTGTGAGACGTCTGTATCCCGACACTAACAAGAGAGATATCAAGGCAACACAAGTGAGACCCAGCCAGTAGGTCTGGCAAAGGGGGAGGGAGGATGTCAGGGCAGGGGGGGAGATATCATCACCCTCATTATGGACGATACTGCCAAATATCAGGAGGGGCTACAGATCAAGGGAGTAATAGATGCCTGAGACTCTGCATGGAGACAGCTGCTTCTTCTTTATTTGCTTTTATGTAAATAAAAGGCTAAAAATTCTGGATTTATCATATTTACGATATGCTATGACTTCCTCCCCGCACTTCTTGTTGTCTTGGGTGATGTTGCTCATCCTGCAAATATCTTTGGTATATTTGACTCCACGCAAACGCAGAGCTAAACTGCTGGTTTAATTCATCTCATTACGAGCAGGCAGAGAAACACCTGTGAAGATTTGTGTCTTCCAACTTCATCATGTTGAAGCGTTCCCTTCCATCTATTCGGTGTCAGAGACACCCTGTTACTGACATTTTTCCATGTTATCATTTATCTCTCCGACTGTTTTGTACTCCGAAGAGCTTCCTTCCTGTTCGCTAATAAAGATCTCATTTTCTGTGCTCTGAATTTAATTTCCAGCTTTCTGAGCAACAGCTACAATTACAGATTTACTTGTTTTACTTAGACAATAGTCACTATTCCATTGAACACACCAAATGTCTGTTTGTGCCTGCTTGTCTTTGTCTGCTGTGATAACAAACCAACGATTTCCTTTCGTTTTGGTCTGTGGGTTGTACAAAAAGAGCTATTTACAGACAGCACTGTGGGAGAAAAAGACTGGTAGTGAAAAATTATTGGCAGTTGTATTTATCTACACAAAGCAATTAACTGGAGACAGGCAAACTCCAAAAAACAGAAAAGCTTCATCTGACAAAAGGAGATGATGAGACTGAGGACATCGTGTGCTGGACTGAGGACGATGAGATTTACCTCCACAGAGTGGGGAGCAGTCCCACGTAGCCGCTCTGCTGTTTTGTGTCTTTGAAAGATAAAAGTTTCACATTTTTGAACAGTGGAGCTGCTGCTCTCCTAAATGAAACCTGGAAACCACATCAATTATTTCTGCAGCCTCACAGGTTTTGTTGCCACTCAAAGAGTTGCCATCAGAGCGTAATCAAAACTCATTCCCATCGATTAATACACGATTAGAGGAAGTTGTTCACCAACTGGCTTTACCAGCTGATGGTGACCCACCCTCCTCCCCAGATCCAAACCAAAAAGCTAAAACGTGATTTTTCCTGTCAAACATCGTCACACAAATTTAAATGTGGTTTACTGTTTTTGTGAAAATCATCAGATGTTAGCCCAGAACAAGGAGGACACATCCAGGGCCTCGTATTAGCATACCTGCTAATACTAGCTGCAAACATAACAGTTAGCTTAATAACCATAACTTTGCTTTGTTTTTACTAAAATGATCAAAACCAGTATCTATTTGATGTCTTTCTTTTTTGTCCTGATAAGAAATTTGAGTTGGGCTGATTTGATTATTGATTACCAATATGTAATAACTGCACTCTTTTGGCTAATGTTAGCAAGCACTGCTACTGCTAATGCTGGACAGACAGGTTTCCTCTGTAGGAACAACAGAAATGTTTTAAACTGAGGAAATGATGACCTGTGACTCCTGCAAACGTCGCCCTTCAGTGTTTGTGTGCAGCTGAGCGTTTCCTCACTCTGCAGCAGTGAAGTCACGAGGTCGAAGCATTAGAGACTCTTATTCTGCTGAAAAATAAAACACTCATTTAGTTCGTCTTATATTTCCTCACACTGATCATATTTTTAAAAAGAACATCCATTTCTACTTCTCCCTGAAATTTTATTAAACAGTCTGTTATAATTGAGCTCACATTTCAGTGTTTTAATGTCTGCCGGACATCAGCAATAAGATTGAACAGAGCGAGCTTGTTGCTGTGAGACTCTCGAGACAAGAAGAACAGTCTGACGTCATGTTTCGGGACGGGTGGACTTAAAACATCTGCTGCAAACATCAGCAGAAGGCGAGCAGCTGCAGACGTGATGGGATCTCACCTCAAACCGAATGAAACAGAGCGAGGAAGACAAGAGGAGGACAAACATCCTCTTAGTTCAGGGGCCCCAGAGGAGGCCCAGCAGGGTAAAAGAAGTGCAGCACTGCCATCTAGTGATGGATATATGACCTGCAAGTCAGAGTGTAGATGAGTGCTAACCCTAACCCAAATATGGTCAGAAGGACATACTCTGACATCTAAAGCTGCACTTTTAATGATTCCAAACTAAAAATATTTAGATTCAAATTAGAAAGTGAAGTTCCCACACATCCTGTATCAATTAATGATTCACAAATAAGCTCAAATATTTGTGTTGTATTATAACTCTTATTGGAACATTGACCCTCTGACTTTCACAGGTTACATCAGGAAGAGCAGGAAGTGCGTGAAGTACACGTCTATCTTCATAAAGTTTCAGAAAGGATTCATAAACACACGACAAACTCCTGAATTTGAAAAAGAAAGGTAATTGTGTAATTCAGAAACAGATGAGTGATGGACAAAGTCTCAGGAATGGTTTCAGCACCTTGTTGAATATCAAAAACTTTCAGCCCACTTTAACCTGAACATTAAGACGTCCTGAAGTCAGCTGCTTCACGACAGGTCAACATACACACACACAGAGTTGTTCTTATTGCCTCTGAGTTTTTATTTCCTACAGGGATGTACAGCAAAAGGACTAACACTGTCAGTGCTAATATCCAAAAAGGTCCTGAAAATCAACTCTAGCACACTTTTTTAACAGGTATTAAAAACACACACGCCTCCGGTCTCAGCGTGCCCCGTCTCAGACTCCAAACAGCTTCCAAAACAACACATCAATAATAAAAAAAAACAACAACCAAAGACATTACCATACTGCATGAAATGGCACAGAAGAAAAGCAGAAGGGCAGTAGACATGGGTTAGAGAACGTCTCAAAGTCATCTTCAGGGATTTAAGCTGCTCCAGACATCACGAAGGTTTCCACACAAATCCTGAATCTTGTTCAGAATGAGAATAAACTACTGCGCTGGCTTCATTTCCAAAACATCTATCCACTGTGTTCAAGAGATATCAACTGAAGGTGAACCAGGACTGCGCTGCACTTTTGTGTAATACCACTTTGTACCACAAGAGAGTGCAGTGAGTTAGCGTAACCTTTTATTTATTTGTTTATTTAAAGCAGCAGGCAGTGATGTAAAATTTTGGAGCTTTAGCTCAGCGCATGGAGGAAGTGTTTATGACTGAGGAGCGTAAGTCATATTATGTTTGAGTCTGTCTGGACTGACTTGCGGGCTTTGCTCCATTCATTCGCTAATCAAACAAGGTCAGGTCGGGTGTGTATAATTATTATATTATTATAATTATCTGTACTCTCAATAAGAAGGTGACATAATCTGTGCTTGTTGAGCCAAATTAATCAGCTGTTTAATTTGGCCCTCCTGTGATTGCCCTTGAGGTCCTGTAACACCTAACTGCCTGAAATCAATTTTAATATTACGGTTAAAATTAATTAAAAGTAAGGAATCAATCCAATAATAATAATGCATTTACAATCTAGTGCTTTTTACCTAGCCTTAGCTAACATTAGTCATTAAGAGCTGGCTGTGAGTCATTTTTGAACCCTAAAAAGTCTCATTTATATCCGATTTTGGGCTGACTGTGGTCACATTAACATTTGGCCTGACAAGTACAACTAAATTAAACAGACTTTATTTTTACTAATAGCAATATTAGGATACCTACTAACTTACTGGCCACCGAACTGTTAGCTGAAGAACCTTTTTTTTCTTACTTTGCTACTAAAATGGTCAAATTCAGTATGTATTTTTTGTCTTTCTTTTTTGTTCTAATTTCAAATTACAGTTGTGCTGGGAGCCGATGATTTGATTACCAATTACCAATATTAAATAAGTCTACTTATTTGGCTAAGGTTAGCAAGCACTGCTATCGCTGATGCTGAAAAAAAGGAATCCATCAAATAATGTATGCTAAGCTATCTAGCATTTGCACTCAAATGTCATTTAGCTAATAGTAGCGTTAGCAAGCAAGCTATAACTTAGATATGCTACACAAACCATTACCACAGTTAGATAGAAATGTTAGCTAAATAAAAATTTAAAGGTAGGCCAGGTATTTCTTATTTCTTAGGCTACTCTGTCCTCAATGTTTATTTGAACTATCAACTGAAAATAGTGTTCTTCTAACGTCATTAGCCTGCAGCAGGGAATTATTAGCAGGCAAGCTAGAGCCCCAAACCATTATGTTATCTCTAGTTTTGGCTCAACTTCAGTCACATTAATGTTTCGCTAGAATTTTTTAAAATAAACTAGACTTTTTTTGTTTGTTAAAGTAGCAGTAACAGTTAGTTAGCTACTTCCTTGCTAACTTTTTTATACTAAAATCCTATCTTAAGTCACCATCAGTGTTTATTTTTTCCATCCTCAAGTGAAACTTTGTTGTGCAATTTGATTATTGATTGAAAATACACGACTCCTTGACTCTTCAGCTAATGTTAGCTAGCACTGCTCACTGTTGATACTGTTTTTTTTACAAAAATGAATTAAAGCATCCATCCCGACTTCTCTTACACCTAAAAACGTCTCATTTTTAAGATTTTGGGAGAATATTCTAGAGAATGAAAATCATACAAATTCACACCTTAAAGCCAAACGCTCCTAAAAAACCTGGAAAAATAGCAACAGTAAATTTCTCTAGATTAGCTGCAAAAACTGCTCGGTTTTTTTGCTGTGTAAATATAGAAGTGAGATAAAAATACAAAGCTTTATGGAATCAGAGGGGACGGCTGATAGTCGAGCTGTAGATCTTCAACAAGGTCACGAAAGAAGAAAAGTGCACTGAAAAAAGCAATCAGATTCACAAGCCATTTAATCTTGAATTCATTCAGTAAAATCATACAAAAGGTGTGGAAAAAGGTCAAAAAGGAGCCACAGTTTGACTTTGAGAACAGATTGCAGCTGAGAAACACCAGAATAAATAAAATATTTCACCTTGTTTCTGTAAAGTGAGCTCTAAATACAAGATTAACTGACTTGCAGAGGTGAATATTTTCAGGAAGGAAGGGAAGAAGGAGGGTGGTGAAAACGAGGTAAGAAGAGAACAGAGTGAAGCTATACATGGCAGCTGTATTGATTGGCTGTATTAGTTTTATAGGGTGTTATTGAAGTACTACAGACTAAGCGTGTCGGCCACACGCCAGGCTTCATTGTCTCTAAAATGCAGCAGTGCGCTACGTGTAATTATCATGTACACAAACAAAAAAATCCCCCCACTCCCAGCTAATACATCTGCATAGCAAAAAAAAAAAAGAAAAAAAAAAAGAAAGAAAGAAAACAGCAAATAAATAAAATAAACACAGAAAAGAAAATCGTTCCAAACCGTCAACAACCCTGTCTTTTTTCTGTGGCTACTGATTCTAAAAGATAATACAGAAGTAGTTTTGATGCAAGACTTGTTATTATTACTTTTTTTGTTTGTTTCTTTTTATTTTTTAGAAAAAAATTCTGTTTCTTCATGAAGCACACTTCCTACTTCCTCTTGGTCCGGTGGCGGTGGTGTGGGTGTCATATAGGCCGGTTAGTCATCTTCATCGTCAACCACGGGGTCCGTGTCCCAGCACGTGATGTCAATCTCTGAGTAAACACACACACGCGGATGTTTACACACACATCAAACTTGTGTTTAGCAAAACTGGGAGGCTTATTTTAGCCTGATATGAGTTTTTGGTGCTTTAAGCAAAAAGAAATGTTAGTGATTCTCCTGCCAAACCGACCAATTAGAAAAGGAGCTCAATTCACTGACCAATCAAGCCCAAAAAGGCTGTGAAGTCTCAGGATATCCATCCTGTCAAGACTCAAAGAGTCACTCAGACTTTGAGACTGGTTGGCAACCTCGTGTTTCGAGGGAAAAATGTGTTTTCCAAACTAGCTGAGTCTCAGTAGAAAACAAATCCCTTTATGGTTGTTTTCACTAAGGGTGTTAAAATCTACCAAATCTAACATGCTGAGGCAATAAGGACGTGTCCAAAAGCAGCTTTATTTCAGCTGATCGTCTCACCTGGTGGCTTGTTATAAAAGACCGGTGCGGGTTTAGCCGAGGACTCCTCTGTTGTCCCGAATTCCTCCTCCTGTGATTGGCTGAAGTAGCCCTCGCTCGCCTGAAACACCAACAGAGAGATAGAAGATTAGCGAAACGACGACCAATCAACCGAGAATCTGATCTTTTGTTTCTGGAGAGCACCAGGAGCATCACCTGGCTCACCTGAGTGCCTTCTTTCAGCAGAGCCTCCCCATTGGTCATCAGCAGCTGTCCGTCATCCAGCTCCTGGCCCTCCCCAGATGCATGCTGCAGTGCATGCTGGTAGCTGAGGGTCATCTGATCAGAGCCCGTCACGTCCACCAAACTGGACGGGTCGTCTTCGGCGCCAGTACCCGAGCAGAAAGTCCCGTCCATCATGTCGTCAAAGCTGAGGAGCGGCTGAGGCCGGCCGCTGGCGGCAGCGGTGCTGGGCGGGAGGTTGTCATGGAGGACATCTCCCATTAGGTCCACCAGATTGGAGGACTGGGAGGACTGGGAGGACTGGGCGACGTTGGCTGGAGGGGCGGAGCTGCCGCCCCACAGATCAACCAGGCTGTCTGTGCCAGACTCGCACGCAGAGACAGCGGAGGAGTCGCGGGCCTGCGGGGCGACGCTCTGCACGGGCTTGGTGGGCGTCGACTCCTGGACTGGGGGTTTCTGCTCCTGCTTTGGCACCAAATCTGAAGGAAACAAGAACAATTTCATTTTAAAAACTGAGTCACTTTTAATGATAATCAGTTTCTTTCTAATTACCAAAAAACAGATTTTTAGTGGATTTCTGTTTCGGAAAAAGACCCAATGGAGCACCGTGGAGGAGGCTAACAAAAATAAACTAAAACCAGTGTTCGTCAGGTTCTGGGGACTCTTAGATTTTATAAATGGTCAGAATAGTTATTTATATTTATTTATATTGAACCTGAAATATTTCCGACCTCTAATCCGTGGATATGTTTCCCTTTTTTAAAGGGTGAAAATGTCAACATTTGGAGTTTGGAGGGATGAAATTTAAATTTTGTTATTTTGTGGAAATCTGGCAACGCCATGGTCTGTCGTCTGATTGGTCGACAGAAGTCTTACCCCACTCGTCTGCGTGGTCTTCCTTCTCATCCCTGCTGTAGTCATCTTTGATGGGCGTGGTGACTATTTTAGGAATGGGTGACACGGTGGCCATGTTGCGCTCTGTGCTCACTTCATCGTCATTGTCCGCTGAAGGGTCAAAAAGAAAGATTATTGAAGGAAAACTTTGGCAGCCGTCACCAAAAATCCTCCAAGACTTTTACCCACGAGCAGGTGTGTCGAACTAACACAGAATCTGATGGTTTTATCTGAAGTTCAGCTAAATGAGGGTAACAGGTGATTGTGACCAGGTGAACTCCACAGTCACATCCTGTGTTACTTCAACACGTTAAACATTGCACAAAATCGCAGCAGCCACATCAATTTTGTTGTCACATGACCAACAGACAGGCAGATTCAGTCACTTCGCCCGGTTTCAGACCCATCGTCTGTTCTGTCAACAAACTGACATCATCAGCTGAGCCAATCAGATTTGAACCTGTTGTCGGGTAAACAGTAAGCTTCTCCAAAACTTTGTTTTCAGTCAGCTCCCTCACTGTGTTATGTTTAATGTACAGGCAGCATCACGCACTCAGTTGTGAATGCCATTATTTCAGTGAGACGTCCACAGAGATAGCTCAGTATGTCTGAAAGTTTTAACGAAAAGTGAATAGACAGTGAGTGAAAAACACTGACGGAGTGGTCTTTTTTCCTTGAGGCTGAGTGCTTCCTCTTTGTGGTGTTTAATATCTTATAATGCGGCTGTTTAATGCCAGAAGCGTGAGACAGAAGCAGCAATGAGGCACCTACAAACTCAGGCAACAAAGTGACCAAATGCTGCTTCTCTGGACAGCTGAAGCAAATGAGGAGTGAGGACCTCTGTCAGAAACCAAGACACAGTCACAATGATCCAATGGGTCATGAAACAGGAGCAGGTATCTAACAAAAACTCACTGATATGTCATTACAACATACCAACACATTGTGGGTGAGTCACAGCTACATCAGGTACACACATCCAACAACAAACACCATCACAGTGTCAGTTAGAATCACGAGAATCACTTCCACAATGCCATTTCTCCAGATGTTTGATGATGTTAAGCTTCATGTTGTGTTCAAATACCAGAACGAGACTTCCCACAAGCACAACAACGAGGAACGAGAATTAGAGAGGCAATAAATGACTGAGTCCTAAATGGGTGGGTTCTCAATTCACCTGGAGGTAGGAAACCTGATGAACAACCCCTGATGACGATATTATCAGCTGTATTTTTATTCCTATGTTCAGCACTTCGGTCAGCGGTTACCTTTTTTCCAAGCGCTTATAAATAAAGTTGCCTTGGCTAGTAACTATTTGCTGTGTTACTGGTATCAGGTATTTATAACGACCAATAAACAAAAAGACACATGGAAAGAATTCAACCATACTGCACAGTTTATTCACCAGAGGGCACTCTGCAAATTCTCTGCTGGCAAAACACTTTTGGAACGCCACAAACAAGAACCATCAGTCGGGCAGAATATACAAACTACACGTAACAAAAGTTAGACAAATCTGTTCATGTTTTGTGTCTGAATGAAAAAATAAATCTGTACCTACAGTATAATATTAAACCAAATAACTGCCGTCAGTGTTGTATTTAAAAATCCTGTCCTTCTTTTTGATTTTCATCTAGCAACAGCCAGCAACTACTTGCTAACCTGTCAGGTAAAACACACTTTTCCATAGCAACCAGTGGTTGTTGACCAGTTTCTTGCCCTGTGTGACTGAGATCTTAGTCAAAAGTTAGCAGGTCAGCTGGCTAGCTGATATGTAAACATGATAGGTACAGCATGGAGATGAAAACCTAAATACCAACAAACTGTGTTAGTGTTAGCAAAGTTAGGCTGCACAGTTTTTAAACCAAATGACCAATTATACTGTGTGTAAATGACCGATGATATGTCTTCAGCAAATAGCCAGTGTTAGCTCGCTAACTAGCTAACAGCTAGCTAGGTTGTTTTTTTAGACATTGCTGCCTAATTTTTTATCTTGTATGAAAAATTAAGTATTTTCCTGAAGTCACAGCCAATGACAAAATGCTGTAGCTAGCTCCACAGTCACCGCTAAACACTATAAATGTAATTTCCACTCAGTGCAGATACATCTAAAACACGGCTATCCTGCTGACATTTGTGTAATATACACTTCACCTCATCTCCGTGGTGTGCACAGCGTACACGATTATGGCGAGGCTAATATAAATACATTGGCACAGTTAGGATGGAGAATGAGGGTTAAATAAAATAAAAGTTCATGTGGAGGCTCTCCGATGGGCTCCATCCTGTGACAGGAAGAAGACGCCAAAAACAGAACAAACTTCAGCCAAGAGAATGCCTGAGATGATCTGTCAACACCACAAGATCATTAACACAATGCTGCGTGATTTAGATTACTCATTGGGATGTTAATGCCCACACTGAGCTGAACGACGTGCTGCACATGATGCTAATAAAAATTCTCAGAGGCAGAGAATGACGACCGAATAAAAAAAAAATCTGCCTGTTAAAAAACGAACACGGCATTCAAGCGTAAAGACGAGAACTCCAGCTTAGACCTGCAAACTGCATCATCAGAGGTTTGATGTGTCATCGCTTTACAGGCGGGAGGTGAACAGTGTTTTACTTTCACTGAGCATAATAACGTACACATGCAACTACACACACACAGTGAAGATCATGAAGGTGGTCTGCATGATTTTATTTCTAGTATCAACTAAACAGGTGAATCGACTTTATCTTTCATGTGTTCTTGTAAGCCTGGTACTCTGAGGGTCCATTATTGAAATATCTGAGTTTTATTTGTGATGTACTGATGATGACACTGGTAAAGCCAACCAGCAGCGAAGGGATTTGCTGCTTTTAAGGAGGACCTCCAATGATTTTCCTTATTTCCTGTTCCTGTGGTGGACGCTCATATTAGAGTTTCCAAAGCTGTGCTGAAATAGCCTCGCGCCCTCTGCAAAATCAAAGGTTTCTGGACTAAACTTAAGATGTTAAAAGGCTCTCTGGAAGTCTGGCTCTGCCATATAAAAACCACCGTTATGGTCTTTAACCTGAAAGACATCGAAGTTCAACATTCAAGCATTCACAGGCCGACTGATGGCAATGGCGACCGAGTGACGGCTCGACGGTGTTACACACACATACGCACTCAGACACTCACAGTCGGTCAGTCGGGATTAAAGATGGCAGCAGGAGTGTGTTTATGAGTGTGTTTGTGTGCAGTCCAGGATCAGAGGCAGAGGAGGAAGGTGGAAGGAGAGAACCTGTCAGATCCCTGAGATTCAGCTCTCGAGAGAAGTGAAATCACTTTTACAAGCGTAAAACATCAGAAGTAGAAAAATTAAATACAGAAACATTTACAGAAAAAAAATCAGCAGCCGACTGGACGACATCTAAAGGATGAAGACTGGAGGGGACGACAGACTCGACATCTACCACACAAAGCAACAAACAGCTTTGCTTTGAAACAGGTTTCACTGTTTCCACAAGTTAGTGCAAACCTGCTGTGTGAGAGTCAGCCTGCAGGGGGGGTTAAAGTGCACGAGGCGAAGAGCAAGGTGGGAGGGCGGCCTCGTCATCCTACAGCTAACGCCGCCAGCATGCACGATACAGTGAACGCAAACCAAACTCCAGCTTCTGTCGCTTTTCATGATGCTTGGATGCTCTTGTCTCCGTTATTGCCTTAATCAGCCGATAGTAAAAGGTAAAAACGAAGGAACTGGGGAATTTTTAGACGCTCTCGTTCAGTACCAGGAAGTGGAAGGAGGAAAGAGTTCGGGGGGTGTTTAAAGTGGGAGGTGATGGGGAAGTTTAATGGGTTGGTGCTGAGATGTGTGGGGCTAAAACTAAGTGCTGAAGATGAGAGGATGAAAATGCATGTTGGCTGAAATAACTATGAATTTTTAGTGTCTTGATGCATCTCAATCATCCAGGAAAGTAAATCTCCAAAAGTTGAATCTGTTCATCTGGACGTAGCGTTCTCCCACAAAACGCTACGTCCAGATGAACAGATTCAACTTTTGGAGATATGAATTTTTAGTGTTTTTAATCTGTGCAGAACTTTCCTGACGTCACAGAGTTTAAACTTTTTATTATTATCACAGAAAACAAAAAAACGAAGATGCTAAAGTCCTGCATTACAGTTACCACGAATACTTCCTCTTTGTTTATTCTTTCAAATTAAAAGGAAGCGAGTGGCTTCACTGCTTTACTGTTAATTTCAGAATTAATGGTTTTTAAAGCCCTCAGTGGAAAACCTCCTACGTTAACGCTCTTATTCACCTTTGCATTATTGATCTCGAAATCCAAGATCTTGGGATCAACTCTCACCTTACAATAACACAAAAAACCTCAATAATTAGACGAACCTTATGAGCAAGCAGTTGGAGACAGCAGGAAGGAAAAACTCCCTTTTAACAGGATGTAACCTCAGGCAGAACCAGGCAGCCACGTTCCAAATATTCCTGCTTTTTAATCCAGGTTAGAAATGTTGCTCTATTCTCCAGCATTCCTGGGTTCATAATCTGTGACTGGGGGCTATTATTTTATTTTGTATTTATATATTAATGTATTTTATATTATATTTGTAATTTTATAGTATTTGAATAACTCTTTATTATCTTGTACATCGTTCTGACAGCTTTCTTCTGTTTAAATGTGCTTAATAAATTAATGAATCCATTTTAAATGTCCTTATAAATGTTACTGTATGAGGCTCCAGCAGGGATTCAGTTCCTGTACAATGACAGGAAAACTGATCCTGAAGAGTTTAATTTTCAGTTTACCCTGAAAGCGACATAATCCTGCAGACAGGAAGTGGATTGTTTGCGGTTGTGAGTTTTACCAGTCAAGCTGGAGTACCGGTGTAACCACGCGCAGTTTCATCCTCTCATGTTGGCTTTGCTGCAGTGTTTCTGTGTGTTTGTGGAGGGGACTCATGTGTCGGGAGAGATGCTCGACCAGGCTGCTGGTTTCCTCTTTAACTTCTTCTTCTGCTGTACCTACCGGCTGCAGCGGTGGGCTGCGTCCGTGCATGTGGCGGGGTGCGGAGGGGCGACATGCCCCGGTGCGGGGGGGTCGGACTGGGGCTGCTGGGACTGTGCTGCTGCCTCAAGAACGGGCTGTCCAAACGGCCTGGCGGTCGGGACGACACAAAAGCGAAGACGGGAACACACAACAAACGAGAAAGAAAAAAAACAGCGACGCACCACAACAGAGACGTGAGGAAGACAGAAAAACAGAGGGAGGAGAGGATTGTGGGAAGAAGATGAAAGAGACGGGTGTCAAAAAAATCCACCAAATTTCACAGAGTGGAGAAATGAAAGAAAAAGGAGAGGAGGAATGAAGTAAGGAGGTGAGGAGGAGGAGGAGGAGGCAGAAAATGGAGAGAAAGAAGAGAAAGGTTAGTGTGGTTTAAACACACCGCCTGCAGACAGCATGCTGTTAGGCAGAAAGGAAAAGCTGATGGCGACTTTCTCTGAACCAGAAAGTGTCGGAATAATTCAAACCAGAAAACAGAAAACACTCTTTGGGATCTGTGGACGAGTCTTTGATTGTTATAAATAACACATCGTGTTGAAATCCTGCAGTCGTTTACAGCCCGTGCACACTTCAGTCACGCTGCTGTACTTTAATGTGTCGGGGCCTCAGTGCGGGGCTGCGTTGGCAGTCTTAAGTTGTAACCAATCATCGTCCCAGCCCAAACTGCAGCTCCTCTAGTGGCCACTAGATGCCATAAGTGAGCACCCGCAGACTCCCAGCTGGCTACACGAGCTAACGTCACTGTGAAAATGAGACAGACTTACAAAAAAGGTCTCAAATTAAACGTTTGCTATTCAGGTTTGTCTGTGTTTGTTCTAACCAATGCTGCGCCAAACCCTGCAGACAAACAACATAAAATGATGCAAGCACGCAAAGGGTCAAAGGTCACGCAGAAGGGCTGTGGTTTGCTGTGATTTCAGCAAAGAAACCCGATTAAAACCTTTCTAGAATAAAACAGTCCAGTTTAACAGCTGGATGGACGACGCACAGCAGCAAACTGACAGTGAAGCGTCACTTACATGAAAACTGAGCTTCTTTTTCAAAGGTTCATTTCTATCATTTATCTGAATGAAAAGAAAACCTTTGGAAACTCTGAGAAAACGGCACAAACGGGAAAGCTGGAAAGCACATTTGTATATTTGGCAGGAAAAGCTGTGCTGATTTGAGGAGCTGACGTAATTATCTGGGGATGGAAAGATGAACTTACTACTATTGTTGCTGTAATTAAAATATGTTTATCTGCAACTACATATATAAACAAATGTTAAATATTACAATATTAATACAGCTTGAACTTTGTGGATCACTTTGAAGATTGTGTGGTTAATTTATATTTTTGTTCATGTATCCACCTCTGCACGCTCTACCGTTGAAGAAGCAGCAGTGCTGCAGAAAACATCATTTTATAAAACATTTTAAATATGAATAAAGATTATAAACAAAACCAAATGATTGGTCCTGTAGAGGCTGTGGGGGGGCGTACCTCTGAAACATATACAATCAGACATGCTGGGGCTCCACAGCTGGCTCAAGCCGGTTAACAGAAGTAATCCACCAATCAGAGAGCGAGGTGAATCAGATCCACCAGTAAGAATGCTCCAACCCTTATGAGCTGATCTCACTGACATTAACTGCCCCTGTCACTACCTGATCCGTACCGGAACCCCATCGGTACCCCGCATGCGCGAAAGGTGTCTACTTCCAGTCGTAGCGTTTTACGATAGTTACGGGTCAGAGTATCTGTTAAGATGTTAAGAATAATAAGTATCTCTTAAAATGTTTCCGATAATGAAACATTTCAATATAATGTAAACAAAAACGAAAAAAAAAAAAAGAGTTACGGATCAGGACTCCCCGATCCGTACCGCGCATGTGCAGGGGTTTTCTTCTTCTGTTCGTTTAATGGCAGTTTACTCCCCAGTGTACAACTATTTAGTGATAGTCGAGTGTGTTTATGCTTGTCTGTGTGGAGAGGATTGATTGGAATAGTGATGATGATGTCCGCTATCACTGTCAATTGTCAGTAAACACGTCATCTGGCTGCTGAATCTTCACGTGACATATTACAAAGTCTGTATTATTAATTCTGTAATTAGGCGCCATTCTTCTTATTTTACGGCGCTGTTGTTCAATCGGGGAACGCTCTGTGTTGAGGAGAAAAGCATGAATTTGTTTATATACGGATTATCCATTGTTCAAATGTCCCGGTGGTTGAAAAGGAGGCGGAGCTGTTGAGAAATGCTAGGAGCTAACTGGGCGCTAACAGTATCATTCAAATATATTGAACGTCGCAATGCTGGCAAAGAGAGGAAGATTTGCGCATGCGGGGTACGGATCGGGTTTCCGGTACGGATCGGGTAGCGACAGCCCACACCTGTTTCAGTGAAGCAGCACCTAACGTTGCCATGGTGATGGAATTCTGTAGCTAACTGTAACTGTGGCCGCTCTAAAACCCAGAGCCGTTGGATGGAAGAGTTGCGTCATCTCCATTCACTCTAATGGACCATCTGTGTACAGCAATGGTGGATCACGGAGCAGTAATATTGTAAGTTAGCAACATAGGCTAGCTGTGGCATAGAGGTATAGCAGCATGGAAGTTTGAGATGAATTTTTCAAAGGTAAGAAGTTAAACACCAGTCTGTATGTTATCAGCACGCAGTCCAACTGTCCACAGGAACTGTTTGAAGACTGCACGACCCACGTAACCACCCCGAATTCTGAACCCCTGCTGACAGGACTCTCACTTACTCAACAGCTCTGCTAAAATCGAGAGCATAGCTGCTATCGACACAGTTTATGGACCGCGGGCGTCCCAACAAGGTGCTCCACATATGAGTGTGTTTTTGTTTTTTTGCTTCTAAAAGTGACACTGTGACAGGGAAAACTAATAAAGTAAAAAATGTGCGTTCACCAGCAGGTTAAACAGAAACATCTGTCTAGCTTCTCCCACTCTGTCAGTTCTGCAAACATCTGATCGATTTGAACAGGCTGCATCTGTGACAAATGATGCTACAGGCCAAACAAGGAAGAGTAATTATCCAGTAACAACATGTGGTGGGAGGCAGTTGCTGGGTGATGTAATCAACAGTTCCTTAACTGTCAGAGTCCACAGATCGAGGACGATGTTCTGAAAGACTGAAACATCTGAGGCTGTTTCCCATCAAGGACGGTTTGCTTCACCAGTTTCAAAGTCAAATATTAGTAAATCATTTTTTAGAATAAAAAACATTTGCCGTTTCAAAGATACTGTATCATATTTTCCACGAGTCTCTCGAGTGCTTCTCTAGCTCAGCACGAGAACAAAGGTCAGGTGAAGTTTTGAAGTGTTTACCGCTCCGGTGGATGGAGACGGGCGAGGTGTCCACACTGATGGTCATGGCTCTCTCCTTCTGCTTGAAAAACTCTCGAGGGTTTCCTGACCGCTGAGCGATGATGGCCTTCGCCTCCTGGAAACACAAAATAAATACAGAGTGCTGATTTTCTTCCTCTTAAATGTTCTGCGGCCGTTTCTGGAGACGCTCTCTTTCATCATTCTCCAAACTGACCTCTACCTCAGATTCCTTCTTGTCCAGGTTGAGGTCCTCGATGCTCGGCTCTGCTACCTGAGGAGAAGAATCCAGTGATTCATATGTAACACAAAGCAGAGAGAAACTCGTTCACCTGTGAATAAATCAGTCAGACGTCCTGAAACAGCAGACAAATGAGCTGCACGCTCCCACCAGCAGGGGGCGACACAGACTGTGTTTGTATCCACTGATACTTTCTACTATTTGCAATCTTGCACTCAAAGAAAGGTGTTTAGATTTTACTGTGCCACACAGACTCGGATTAAGATGTTCGGAGGCCAGGAGCCATCAGGCAGCTGATTGGGAGATATTCTGAAAAGTAACACACGTCTAATCACTCGCTTCAAAAACTGAACACGCTGTCACACAAATTAGCCTCATATCTGTGTGGCTGTGGACTCGGGCAGTGCGAGGCTCTGTTTGGAGGCAGAAATAATAACAGAAACCAACTGGAGATGTGTTTTTAATCAGAAAGTCCACCAAGAAGCAGAAGCTGGCTGGTAATTACTGGTTTCACTTAGCAAATACTTACTACGGGGGTCTGATTCCGCAACCTCTCTTTGGCCTCTTCCTCCTCCTGCATCTTCTTTCTGTTCACACACAAACACAGTTTATAGATCATGAAAAGACGATGTAGCATCATCCCGTCATTCGTGCACACGTGAACCTTCTGACCAAAAATGATTGTGTTCATTGTTTGTTTGATGATTGCTGTGCCGTCGCTCCTCACCTGTGCTCCTCGATCTGCTGCTCCCTCTCGCGGTACCTCTTCTCTCGGTTCTCCTGCTCTTTCCTCTCCAGCTCCATTCGCTCCTCCTCGAAGCGCTGCCGCTCCTCTGCCAACTTCTTCTTCTCCTCCTCCTTCCTCATCTCCTCTTCACGCTGGAGACCGGACACACACAAATGACCTCTTTCAGAGTTGTAATAAATCTCTCGATCAGTTAATTAATGAAGCCAGATCTGGTTCTGGGCGTTTATCTGAGTGTCTGAAACAGTGAAGGGCAAATCTGGCAAACATCCCGCGGCTCGGTGACGCTCGCTGTCATTTCGTGTTTAACTTGAATGAGACAATAGCGACACAGCCGGAGGATGCAGCGACATCTGACTTCGTTTCTCACGTCTACCCAAATATATCTGTGATTCACATTATACTAAATAACTGTCACATACAAGGACACAGTTTATTAAATACAGTGTGAGATAAAGTCTCGTTTTACAGGTATTCTCATCACCTTTGAGAGTATTTCAGCAAAACATATATGCGCTTATCTTTTAGCTTAGTAGCCTGGCTTAGCTTGAATGAGCTTGCAAACTGACACCTTCGGTCTTGATTCACAACCAGGGGTAGAAAAACCCCAGAAGCTATGTGGAAAAAACTACAACAATTACATTTAATTAAAGAACTAAACATGTTTGATCAGAAAAGTTGGCAAAAGTAATGAATACGTAAGAAAACTATTGAAATCGCTATATAATACATGTAATATAAGTGCTTATATACCTGCTAGCTTAGCAGGTTAGCTTAGCTTTAATCAGCTGGCAAGTAAAATAACCGTCAAGCAACAGAAAAAAAAATGGTTGAAACAAATATATAACTAAACAAATACAGTTGTTAGCTAAAAAAAAATCACCAAATGTAAATGTGATTCGCATTATATTGAAATTATGGTTGTTAAATGCTACATAAAATACCATGTCTGGATAATGAATATAAAAAGTTAGCCTAGCAGGTTAGCTAACTCCCCACAGGGGTACAAGTAAATGGTAAATGGCCTGTATTTGTATAGCGCTTTACACATCCAGTCATCCACCCATTCACACACTGGTGATGGCAGCTACGTTGTAGCCACAGCCACCCTGGGGCGCACTGACAGAGGCGAGGCTGCCGGACACTGGCGCCACCGGGCCCTCTGACCACCACCAGTCCGAGACTGTCGGAGCCGGGGCTCGAACCGGCAACCTTCCGATTACAAGGCGAACTCCCAACTCTTGAGCCACAACAGTAAGATTAGCACAAAAAATACAGTCAAATAACTGAACATGAAGGTAAAACCTGACTAAAGAAATTAGCTAAAACAAAAACAAACCGCTGAAATACAGTCGCTAGTTAGCACACATAAAGAGCTGTGAATTACTTTTCTTGATTTTTTATTATTCACTAACTCAGTGAATTAGATATATGGAAAAACAAATACTGTGAGCCAAAAAGAATGACAAAATATTATAAATGCAGTAGCTAGCTAATATATGAGTGAAATGCTGTGAATTTTGCTGAAAGCATAGCTAACAGCTCAACTGCTAGCTAACAATATACTCGAGTTGAAAGAACGTGAAACTTTTTAAAGTCTTAGTCTTTCTGTTTGGGTTTGGGAACTGGGAACATTTGTACATGGAAATAGCAAAGGATATCCGACCTAATGAGGGATTGTTGTGAGCAATGTGCTAAAGTGCCGTGTGCAGATCTCTGAAATGCCACCAGCTTTGACTGCGTGGCAGCGCCCGGTAATGAGGACAGTCTGTTTGTGAAATCTGTCAATAAAACTTAGTCTAAGGCCATCAAAGACCTCAAATGGGATGCCAAAGGGTTCTTTACAAGCGTCATCATTGCTATAAATCTGCAGCATCTCAGCACCAATTCAAAGGACGCCTTTTGGCATCTATGAGCTGTCATCAGCTAAAAGAAAACACAGCATCTGACCCCCTGGGCTGGAAGCTCTCATCTTATGAGTTGTAATAAATGAGTATTATATCTCCTTTTTTTTTTCCCTTCCCGTCTTTGTTTTTTCCCACTCACTCCCCCCTCCTCGCCTTCTTTACCTTGGCTTGCTCCCAAAACTCCTGTCTATTGATTTTCTTCATCTCCACCTCTGCGTTGGTCTTCTCGTACACCGTGCCCTGCACCAGGACAGACAGGGGAACGGATCAAAGCTCTCGTCACGAGAGAAACGCTGTTTTTATAAGAGATAAAGTGTGCAAGTCTCTCTTTGTACCACGTCTGCGTGCTCTTCATCTCGGGTCTTCAGACGGCTCAGGACCGGGCTCGCCACCGCTGCCGTCCCATTGGTCAGGCGCTGCCCGATGGCCATGGGGTCAATGTCCTCCAGACTGCTGGCATTGATGATGACCTCCACCCCCTGCAGAGAGACAGAAACACGATGATCAGTCAAGTTTTCATGAAAGCTCTGAGAGTTTGTGGAAACATTCATTACAATTCATTCATAGCAGTGAGGACGTTCTGAGGAAATGAATCTAAATCAATTTAATGTCCTCTGAAGTGATGGAAACACAGCCGTGTGTGTTTTTGTTTGTGTGTGTGTTTTTTTGACATGTTGTGTGTGTGTGTGTGTGTGTGTGTGTGTGTGTGTGTCTGTTGGTATTGTAGGTCGTGTGTGATTGAAGTCGACGCTGTGTGGGAGAGAGAACCGACCACTACCTAACATACACCACACACACACACACACACACACACACACACACACACACACACACACACACACACACACACACACACACACAAATAAAACATCACCTCCGCTTTAATCTCAATCTTTTTATCTACACTATAAATCCAAAAATACACACTGAGCCAGCTGTGAACACACCGCTGTGTGACACACACACACCTCGGCTCAGAGCTGGTGTTCGTCACACACACCTGTTCCTCCTCTGTGATCCTCCTACAGGTTTTAAGCGTCTTTTCCAACCGAGCGTTGGGAAAACATTTAAACGGTCCTTACGTGACACAATTAAAAAACAAAACAACAAAACCTCAAAAACACTGAAGCAGGTTACGAAACGAACATGACATCACTTCACACACGATTGCCGTGATCGGGGTTTGAGATCATTTCCCTCTCAGTGGCTGTCAGGCCTCTTAGACTGAACAGCTCTGGTGCTTCTGACACTGTTGCATCCACAGAATCACGCACAGTGAAATAACTGAGCTTTTAATAAACTCATCTGAGCAGAAATCTAACAGACTGAAAGTAAAAGATGGACCTACAGATGTGGCCAGACGTTTCCATACACATCGAGTTTATTTAGGATTCATTTAAATTGGTTGGTTTCCTGTTATTGGCCTGGCTTTGAATAAAGCCTACGAAGTTCCAACAGGGTTGAAGCTGTTGATTTGTGAAGTTCATTGTAGAAGCTCAATGTTGTCCTGCTTTATCCATTCCTGAACCAGCCACGATGGGATCATTGTCCTGCTGGAACATGTTCGGTCCAAGTATAAACCATCAAGCTGCTGATGTAAGATGAACTTGGTGCGATGTACCAATACTACTGGCACCAAAACAGCCCGACATCATGATGCTTCACAGTTCGGTAGGTTTGAAATTCTCACCCTTGTTCTTCCAAACTAGTTTTTGTCATTGCAGCCAAACAGCTCGATCTTTGTCTCATTGGACCATAAACCTTTTCTTTAGAAGGTGTTCGGCTCGTCCATGTGGGCAGCTGCAAATTTCAGTCGAGTCTGAAGGTGTCGATTCTGAAGCAGTCAGCAACCTCTCGGTCCATGGTGATGTAAGACCCACTTCACTGTGGATGATGGTGTTCTACCAGTTTCCAGTTCATCGCCTTGGTGGTTCCTGAACATCCTAACACCTTCCCTCTATTCTGAGGGTGATAGTTGGGGTCTTCTTCCAGACCTCAGTACTATTGTATAGTGTTATTAGTTTTTAATTATCTTGATATTCACAGTTGTGTAGATAACGCACTCAGCAACGCTCCCAACTCGTGCCTTGGACTTTCCCATTGTTTACACTAAGTGTTGGTCAATCCAATGAATCATTTTTATACTGCCAACAGAAACTAGCAGCTGTAGCCAATCAAGATCACAAACGAGACGTGAATAGTCCTTGGCCCTGTCAAGTTCAAAGCCATCGTAGAAGCTTCAGAAGCACTTATTGGAGATTTAAGTGCGTCTATAGTTATCTTTGATCCTCTATGCATAGTTCTGTTTGGATTATAGGAAATCTAGAATAAATTCAAATTTGCACCAATTCTTGTTTCTTAAGAAGAGTTCAAAGAAATCATTAAAAGCTCAAAATTATTACGACATTCATGCCCATGATGAAAACGGCAGAGGAGCCGCCCCCTGGTGGACGTTGAAAAGAGTGCAGCTTTAAGGCACTTTTACACTGGTTTCCTATTTCAGATGTTCAACTTTTATAAAATACATGTCTTACACACAAGATGAATATGAACTGTCGTGTTTATGGTTTCTTTCTGGGACTATGTACGACTGCGGTGCTGGGTCTGACCTGGAAGAAGTCTGCGATGGTGGCGACATGGCTGGCACAGGCACACTTCCTGGCATCTGGCACATCATCTCCAACCTGAAAGAGAACGAGAGACGGTGTAACACAACAAAAACGAGAGTAAAAAGGACGACGTGAAGAAGAGTTGGATGAAGAAACTGGTAAAAAAGAAGCAAAAGGATGCTAAATCAACCAATCAGGATACACATGCTAATTTCTTTTGTGCTTTTTGTTACATTTAGTCAAATATCCACTAATTATTTTGTCTTCCAAGTGACCAAACTGAAGGGCAGTTTCTCCCTCCCTTTGGTCTCATTAGGGCTTTTGTTTACCCGTGGTCATGTTCGGTTATTGCAGCAGTTGTATTATAACAGGATGTGATTCAGTAATCACAGCTAATTCATTCCCACACAATACAAACGCAGTGCACAGCAATTACACAGGAAAACAGCCCCGTCTCAGCTGCATTCACAGCCATTCATCTCTTATCTGTCTGTGAGTGAGCGTCGGATGAAGAAAGAGAGAAGGAGCCGCGGCTTGGATGCTTTCGCAGCATTTTTGAAGAGGAGCATTTCGAAGACCTTTTATTCCCATTTTGGGACGTTTTCTGGCACCGTTGAGCCTGGTTTGGCCCGGTTAGCCACAGTCTGGTGCTCTTTTGGCTGCTAATGTTGCTCTGTTATATTGTGATGGACTCCAGTGGCTCCTCTCCCAGTCTCATTTAACCATTAAATACCTTTTTGTTTCTCTCTCAGTCTCGGTTTGCTGCATTAATGACCATATCTCTTATTTTCCTTCCATTTACCTCTGGAATTGTGTTATGGGGGGAAAAAGCAGCAATTATAGCTAATTTCTGGAGGACGGATTGTTTCAGTCTGCCTCTCGCTGCACTGTGTCATTAAGCTCCAGCTCAGGGCGCCCCTGCTGTTGTCAGGTTCAGAAAAGAAAGCATCCATCATGAGGCTCTCAGACTTTGTTTAAATGCTTTCAGCGCACGTCGCTGGAGACTCTCAGTGTGTATAACTAACCTTAACATCAGAAATTATTCATCCCTTCCTGCTACACTTCCTTTTCATCATGAATTAAACGGTAACTGCTCCGTTAGCATGCCTGGTGCTACGACTCCATTTCCTTCCTCTCTGGTTTGGCCCGCACTTTAACTGGAGGTTTTCACTTATTACAGCGTGAGGCAGAAAAGTCCACATCCTGCTTTCCTATTAAAACCACAACATGACGCGCTTTAAAGACAGTGTTTAAGATTTTCATCATCATTTTACCTGCAGGTCTCCTTTTTATAATTCCAAACATACATCTTGTTCTTATTCTTGCTGACTCCGAAATGCCAAATACGTGCTTAAAGTTAAAGCTTCTAGAATATGTTTAGCGCCACCTTGTGTCAGGACAGAACGTGATGTCACTGGGTCGGTTACTTGTAGAAGGTAACCAAAAAAAGAAAGTGACCCATGTCTAAGAAAAAAAATATCTATAATATATAGGGCTGTGCGATATGACCAAAATCTCATATCCCGATATAAGAATTCTATCGTCCGATAACGATATAAATCACAAAAATGTAACATTTTCTGTAAAGTCTGTGAATCTCGGGCAGCTCGACTTGCGTGAAGTGTTTCCAGCTGTCATGTAGCTGGAGTCGAGTGTTTTAACAGATGCATGAAACGATACATTTTTAGACATAAGTTGTAACGGCGCCGTTTCCTTTGTGAGTATTTATTACACGGCGTGCTGCGGGGAAAAGCCTGCTCTAACGTTTGAGTCTAAGGTTTATTTGTTAGCACCTGGCGGCTCTTTTTTACTTCTCATCCATAAATACTCTGCATCTTTCACGTGATTCAGTTTATTTTGAAAAGTCTCAACAGGATCTTGAGCTTTATTGTGAAAGGTTTATGTGGAACATAAACAAGCGGACACGCGATGGTTTTACCGTCGTTGTTGCTAACGACAACGCATAAAAACAGGCGCTTGTCTGTCCGTAGTGTGGTTATATTAAATATAAGAGAAAGAGAGAAATTTAAGAAATGACATCAAAATAATGAAAAAATGTTGCCGTAAACAGTTTATTTTGCGACACCACGAAACAAACGATAGCGTAAAATGAAACGATGTTTTTATATCGTCATCTGATATATATCGTTATATCGAACAGCCCTAATAATATAGCAAAATAAACACCTTCTGATTCATGGATACACCTAAGTTTGTTTTAGGTTTAGCTAATTTAGAAAGAATCAGCTTCACTGCTAATGAGAAAAATTGCTAGGTACGTAATTTAGCAACATGTTTAATAGCTAGCAGAAAGCAGATAAAAGTTCACATAGCACAATGGATAACAACAGCTATTATGATATATCTCTTTTTAGAACATTACTTTTTCAGCTAAAATTAAGGTGTAACTAACAGCACATTCATGCTCGTAGAGATGCTACAGCTAGCTGACCAACGTTAGCCAAAGTCCTAGCTTGTGACCTGGCCTAGCTTGTGTGCTTGCAAACTTTTTGCAGAAGCCAGACAGTTTTTTGTCGTTACAGAATAAATAAAAACATATTAAGTAAGCTAACATTTACCCTGTAGAAAGATATTTTTATGTAAAGACCGTTTGCTTTGACGAAATTAAAACAGTTAAGCTTAACATAAGCTTAACGTAACGTAAGCTAAATCTTCTAATTAGCATAATTATAATGTTTTATCATTTCTTCATATGATCTGTGTTTAAAACTTAATTTTTGAAGTAACGAAAGCTCAGATTCAGATAAAGTAGAAGTAGAGAGAGGCTAAAAAGACTAAAGTACATCTGACACAGAATATAAAAAGCACACTTTGTTTCATACACAGACTGATTATCTAAATCATGAATATAACATTTTCTGCCAAAGTAAGAGCATTTCTGGATATTTCATTAAGTGATTTTTATAACTCTTTCTCACACATTTTAATGGACTAAGCTCAAATGGAAAAACATGATGCCTCAGTGAACTCCTGTCCAACCAGTGATTGATTCAGAATGTGAAGACAGTTGGTGGGCTGGTTGGCCACTGCTAAACAAATCTGGTACATTAATCGAGTTTCAGAGCTTCTCACACTTTCACTACAATCGCAGCATTTGGTGACATCAGCGTGTCTACGACCGCTGCCGATGCCACTCTTCTTCCAGCTGCTGAGGCTGCAGCGACGACGAGTTTTAGATCGCTCTCATCGGCGCGTCCTTGTCAAATAAACGACTAAATTGAAAATGTGCAGCGACCCTCGATGACTCTGATATTCTCATTTATAGCATTGAAGGACATTTCAGAGCGTGCCCCCTCCCGTTTCCCCCTCGTCCCAGCGACTCACCCAGTTGATGAGGATGTATCGTGGCAGAGCGGCGGTGGGCTCCTTCAGGCCGCAGAAGCCGTACATCACCCTGCCGCTGTCAAAGGTCAGCGTGATCTCTGCCAGGCCGCCTCCTGCAGCACAGAACAAGAGTTCAATATGACTGCAGCACAGTCGCAGCCATGCCTGCTTTTTCAGCTTCTGCTGACTCGCTCTCCACGGGACACCAGCGTCACCGCTCAGACACCTGAGAATAAAACTTTTTAATCTACACTTCCAGTGCAAGTACAAGTTAGTCACAGATTATTAAGGTGATTACTCACATTAAGAATAATATTTTCTGTATTAAAAGTGTGCAGAAATTTTTAACTGAGCCCTTTTTGATCTAAAAGTGTTTATATTTGTTCTCTTTCCAGAAACGAATCCACAGATTATCCACTAATCTATGGATTCGTTTCTGAAATAATAACTTAGAGATTATAAGAAACTGTCAACTTTCCAGCATAAAATGTCAGATAAGTCAGACTCTGAGAAAACCTCCCAGTATAAACTGGAAATACTGAACTAGAGATTTCTGTCACAGTAAACCAGAAAATTCACTTTTAAACAGCCTCAAAAGTTTCAAAAGGTTCTTATTGAGTAGAAAATAGTACTTAAGTAACATATCACCATAAAACTTAGCCATTAGACAGACAGCTACTTTTTATATTGCAAATTTTGTTTAATTTGACCTTTAAATATGTAAATGAGATATTAGACGTGCAGTATTTGCATAAATATCCCACAGACAAAGTGCAGTGAAATAACAGCTAATTCTGACTTTTGGACCTTTTCTCTCGATTAAAAAAAAAAACATGTTATGAAAGCAAAACAGATTAAATTCTCTAAAGTGACGAGTGCATAAAAAAACTAGAGTCGTTCCTTGAAATTAAATCTCCAACATAATGAAGTTTTCAGTGAAGTGAATCACTCTCTCTGTACTTCTAGATTAGCATAACAATGTGAACGCTCAGTGGAAATAAGCAGATCCTGTCTGGGAACATTCAGGTGATGACTCATCATCACACAGGACCATTCAGATTATTGTCAACTTCACATCAGCAAACACAAAACATCTGGAGTTCACAATGCTACATAAACTTCTTTAAACTTCGGTGTTAAAACAGATCACACGTATTTAGGAACAAGATCTTTCTTGGGGGGTCCCCACAGCTCATCATCTGCCTCCTTCTCACCCTATCCCAGCATCCTCCTCTGTCACACCTGCATGTCCACTACATAGTCCCCACATTAAGTGTCCCGCCTCCACCCTCCCGCCTCTCTTCTCTCTCGCTGCCTGCTAACATGCCATCCCCCTCTCTGCTTCCTCTCTCTTTGGCCAGCAGCAGTGACAGTTTCTACCAGCTGTGTTGGCTAATCTGGACCCCAATGATTCGTGATGGAAATCTCATTCTTGATGATCCACATGTTTGATTAAGAACAAGATGAAACTGCAAAGAAAGATTTCATCATCTTTGGCAGCATAATTCAAAGATTCGGAGAAATCTCAACACAGACTAACGGACACTTCTGTCAGTGAGCACAGCTCATCACTACATCCAGCAGTTTTGGTTAAATCTCTACTGTGCAGAGAAAACAACAGACTGAAGCCACCACCATCTCTCAGGAGATGAACCAGCCCGCGTGGAAATCCATCCTGTGGTCTGACCAATCAGAACCAGTACAGAATTAAAAACCAGCATCCACAATGATGTAAGAACAAACAGCATAGGTTACTATCACAGCAGTGACGGCGCCATTAATGCTGAATGATATAATGTTTTGAGATTTTAGAGTATAATGGTGCAAACATCCTTTTAATTGAAGGTCCTGCTTGTTTCACAGAGAAAATCTCCACATACTCCAACACTTCCACTCCAGAACATTCATCTACGGAAAACAGGTGGAAAACTATGAGACTTCGCTCTCATCCAGACAGCACCCTGTCCTGTGGTCTGAACCAATCCGTGAGATATATTAGCTTGCTGGGGCAGCCAATCAGAAGAGAGTTGGCGTGAATAAAGCTAAACCTGCTTGTTTCGGTTTAGGATAAATAAGAATGACTTTGAACTGTGAGTCATGCAAAGCTATGCTGAACAAATGCAAGAACTAAAACATGGAGCTTAAAAAATGGTTAATCTGGGTTAATTTGACTGGTTTTATTCCACAGCTTATAGGTTTGTTTAGGTTTGAAGGTTTCCTGGGTAGAAGTGTCTTCAAGCATCATCATCATCATCATCGTCGTCGTCCCTGCAGCATTTGTGATGCAAACACTTCACTTTAGCACTTCTTTTTATACACTGATGATTACATTAGACTTGTAGAGGGTTATTCAGACGAGACGTTCACAGATAAAACTTTATTTTTATGTATGTTTGAGCTCAGCGACAGAGTGAAACAGAGCAGCAGGAGGTTACCGGGTCTCACGTAGATTATGACTGAAATTCAGATTCATCTTTTAAACCACTGTCAGTTTCTTTAAGTATTTATTAATTTAAATGATTTTTCCTTCTTTACATGTATTTACTTTGTATCAAATTCCCAGTCAGGCAAACTAAGGACAGCCTGTAGTGTTATTTGGTCTTATCTGGGTCCTCAGCTGTGCTTTAAGCAGACGTTTAGCTACATTCAAAAGATCAGTTTTTATTACCTAACTGTAGCCTACTCTCTGCTTGTGGGGTGAGTGTGTAGACCAAAACCAGTGTAAACAAATCCAATCAGCAATGGGCTCAAACTAGCCCCCACCCCCAGCCCCGCATATGTGAACGTTTTCCTCTTTGCTTTGTGCACAACGACACACATCAGTGGGTTTTTCAGTTTATTTAACTGAGAATAAAGAAGCATTTTCGTGCCCAAGAATATGAAAAAATTAAAATAAGATAAAATGGTGAGTATTTCACAAACTGCTGAGTCTGTGTTGCCAGAGTAAACGTGCACACGGGTCAAAGCTGTCTCTGAACGGATGCGTGTGAATCGAGCCAGATTTGGACTTTCACTCTGCTTCTGATGTTTAACATTAACCACCGTGCGCACATTTGCTAAATCCTGGCTAACAAACGACACACAACACACACAGTGACAGCGAGCATCGAATCAGGAGGGGTGCCATTACTCTGTAATGATCCTGCAGCGCATCATTAGCAGAAATGATAATGAATCTCTCTGATGGCTCAGTAACAATCAGGAGACAAAGAGCATGATTGCTTTTACCCCCAAAGCTGCAGCAGACGCTGCTCATCGTGATTTACAGCCGCCGGTCTGCAGAAGCAAATTGGAGCCAATCTGAACGCTCGCCATTAAAACCTTTTTCATTAAAAACACAGAAATGATGTCAGCGACGGGACGGGAGAGGGAGTCACATCAGCAGAGACTTACCTCCGGATGCCGCCAGCGTCAGGTCGTTGCTTTCATCCTCGTATGTGTACAAGGCCCTGTTAGAAACACAGACAGAGTGCTAATTAGACACAAGTAACGAGGTACAAATACTTTGTTACTCCACTTAAGACAATGTTCAGGTATTTTACTCGAGTATTTATTTTTGCTTTTCCTGCTGTGCACGCTCGGTGAAGTTTCTCCAGGAGAACAGAGAAGAAAAACCCACAGTTTGAGTCCCGCCTTTCTGTTCTCTGTGAAACGTTAAAGCTCGAGTTTTTCATTTGTTCTTTGCTTAAGTCTGAGCCCCAGAAACTTCTCGACCCAACGACTCAAACTCTTTGTTTGGGTTTGTAAAAACAATGAGACCTCGGCGTCCGGTCTCTTCACAGCTCTGTTTACTGGCCGCTGTGCTCACGTGCACGCAGACACTCGTGCTGCTTTTCAGCCTGTTGTTAGGGAGCAACACTTTCTTTCCAAAACAACTCACAGCACAAACCTCCAGCCACTGCATGAACCAGAGAGTGCTCTTAGAAACTCCCATCAGCCTTCTCTGCGGCGAGTCCTGTCAGACAGGCCCCATCCCCCGAAACAGTTTTGCAGCAGATAACAGACGAGCTGCTGCACGACGAGGGAGGTTCACAGGCCGGCGACTCCAGCCGTCAGCACAGCTTCAAAGACCGTCCTGATTATTTGGTTTGACTGAAGGAGGAGCCGCCCTTTGAAGAACTGAGATAATGCATCTTCTGACTGTTTGCTTCTAAAACTGTGCTTTCCTCAAATACACACCGACACACACAGGAGCTGCAGAGACACGAACGTGCACTGAGCACTCCCCGAATTATGAAAAACAAATTAAACTGGTGCCTCCTCACAGCCACCTCTGACCTCTCCGCTGAGGCTGAATGAAGGTGACAGAGATTACAGCTTAGCCTGCATCTCCAGATTGAAAGTCCTGCTGTAACCCTGCAGCGAAGCAAATAAAATAAAACCCACTAATCTGCACGAAAGGTCAGAAAGAACCAACTGCATAAAACACAGCCACACTGCTGTTTCCACGACGCTGCGATTTGTTTCAATTTATCTTTGCGCAGAGCGCCACAGCAGTGCTAGTGGCCAATCACGGTACTGCATCCACAAACATCCATGTGCTACACGCCCCTGTTAAAAATACGATAACAACAGAGAAAATAACTGCAGTGAAACATGTTTGACAAACAAAAAGGAAGCAGACGTGTAGACATTAAGGACCTGTTTCAGTGGGCGGAGCTTATACTCTAATGAGGCAGGTCCAAAGAATCGCAGTGAGCCAAACACTCAGGGTCCTCCAAACGCCGAGTTTTTTCTTACTCTACTCACTGCCTGATGTCACAGAGGGGTTAATGTCCCAAATGTGGCCATATTGTGCACAGAAGCCCCGCCTACCTGCTGTTCAGACTGTTTATGATGGGCAGCCAATCAGAAGAAAGTCACTTTAAAGATGGGGGAGGACTCAAAGCAGCTTGTTTGGACAGAGGATGAACTGAGTGTCAGATAAAGAAGGATTTTTTTGAACTGTGAGTCATGCAAAGCTGCTGTGTTACATGCCCGACCACTTCCAGCTAACCTGTGCGTGACGCGAACAAACTGGGAACCAGCAGGAAGCAGCAGAAACAGATTATTGAAGGATATGAGATGGTGGGCTGAGAAATTTATCAGGAGATTATAAACCAGACAGCAACACACGGGATTGCTACAGACTTCTTTTAAATCATAGAAGTGACTAACTCAGAGGCTGATTATTGTCTTATTTATCAGGTTTCCTTAATCAAAAATAATATCAACATATGACGCAGATTAAATAGTTTTAATTTTACTTTTCCTCAGGATTAAGAGCCTGATCTCGTCAGTTTGTGAGCCGCACTCACCTGCCTGAATGTGAGATACTTTTAGTTTGATTGGTGGATTTTGCAGCTGCCTTGGTGAGTGTGTGTTCTGTTAAAGTGTGTGTGGATGTTTGGGATTACCACGAGGGCTCAGTCCACATGACATCATGCTGTTTCAGCCCAAAGCTTTAGTCTGGCCAGCGTCTGACTTCCTGCTGACCTCAGCTCCCCGCCCGCCATCCTGTCTGTTTCTGCAGAGTCACTCTCTGCTTCCTGTTTCTCTCTCTGTTTATGCATCACCACATCTCCTCACTGCTACATTTTCACTTTCCTCACAGATTAACAGATTACAGCTCCTGTCAGCAGATCTTCCAGCTGTAAGACTGCTTCTTTAAACTTGTGCCAGTCGGAGCGTGACCTCGTAGGACTCCAGATTTATTTTGGAAGGTCAGTTTTTCCATCTTCCATCCATACAGGGCCAGCTCTGCCGATACCAATACTGATGACTTTTACCCTATAAGGGCAGCAACTTAGGGGAGAGCAGTGTGTCATGATTTATAAGATGAGTCATCATCGGTTTGTCAAATTCTGAACACTAAATCACTGGTTTTTACTTTCCACAATAATCATTTAACCCAATAAAACACATCATTCGGCTTTTCATGGATTTTGAAACTGAGCCCATCTCTGACGTTTTTGGGTCAGCTTTGTTTAAATGTGCTGTAGGCTTTAAATAGACGTGACAGTCAACACAGCAAGGTGTGAGGTACATTTTTTCATTTCTAAAAATAATATTTAACACAGTTCAGACGGCTACATGCTAAACTTGCTGAACAGAAACAAAGTATCGGTCCTATGACACCAGTATCGATCTGATACCGATACCAATACTAATATCGATACTGGGATCGATCCAACCCCAGTGCCTGCTGAGTTCATGATTATACAAACAGAAATAACCATCAGAGGCAGATTAGATTCAACTAAAACCCGCAGTTCCTCTAACGTCCACTGGAGACACTTTACAGCATAAATAAACATGTTTTTTGCGTGTTGTGATGCAACCACCAGTCGGTCAAGAGGGGAAAATGAGTTTCGCTAATTATGAATGACTGCAGACTCTGATGTATGTGTTAATGTGGCGCTCTATCGTTGTAAACTGGGGAGTCAGCATCTCGGCACGGATTCAGCTCTCGGCGACGTGGCTGGCTGATATTAATTGACTCCGACACTAATTTTTTCCTCCACTTGTTGTTCGATGCTGCTGGGGTTAACATTTTATCTTCTCATAACTGCCGGGCTGTGTATGGCCTGGATACTCAGGTCTGAACCAGGAAATCCAGATGAAAAACAGATGGAAGGTGTAAGAACACAGTCTGATACTACAGCTACTACTACTACAGCTTCCTGTATATGACAGGTACAGCAGTATCAGCATCAGAGAGAATTCCTGGAGGCAGAAACAAACACGGCGAGGCCGGGAAATAAAGCGATAACAGATAATGAAGACAACAATACGGAGAAAGTCGAGGAGGAGGCGTTTAAGGTGGAGAGAAAGCGATGAAGAGTGTGTCTATGTCGCTCATTCAAGGCCTCTATAAATAATTCTCTTTAAAACAGACAGCTGTTTATTATTCATATAAGCCCTCGTGACCTAGAAACAGCTCCGCGTGTGTTTGTGTGTGAGCGGTTTATCACGCACGAGGACGGGAGAGGAAAAGAGAAGATGTTTGATGAAGAGGCAGCAGGGGATGAATGACGAGAGGACTGATGAAGCTCATCAAGTAATCACATTCAATCCAGAACATCAGTTTCCTCTGCGTGTCCAATCAGGAGAAAGCTCTCGTCTCATCATGGAAATTTCAATGCACAGGGAAGGAAGAGTGTGAAGGACAAACAGACCTTTCATAGCCTGAAATCAACCAGCGTCCCGGCTTCACAAGCTAATGACAGCAAAGCCGTTACTTTTTAAGCCTAATTTCCAAGTTCTCAAGTGAATGAGACATACGCAGAGTGTGGGTCAGGGTGTTTCCCTGAATGTGCTGCAGTAGCGGTTTTCACTGATAAACATTAAAAAAACAAACAAACAAAAACATCACCAGCATTGCTAGTGAACTATCACTGGATTGCTAGCGATGCACAAATGGCTGCACATCGCTAAGGAGCAAAATAAATCCTGCTTTTCCGACTTTACTAGTGGAGACACTCAACTTGGGATTGCCATCACTCCAAGCTCTGAAGTCTGGCTTCCAAGAAAAATAGAACGTAGCATTTGAACCCGGCTAACTGCTGCTTTGGCTATCAAGCAAACATTAGCTAGCATTAGCTAACATGCCAGAATAAATCCAGCTTTGTCTGATGCAGCCCGCTTAGCCAAATGGGAATTAGCTGTCAGGGAAAACTCCCGTTATTTGGCCAGGCTTGGACTTCTGGAGGGATTTTTTTGGTTTCAGGATCAACTCTTTAAACTGTTTATCAGAAAGCACACATAAAGAACCAGAGCTCTTAAAAACAGTCACTGTTTTTCCCTACAGAGCTAATCATTTGGTATATCCCATCAGAATTTTCAAAAATGGCCATCATTTTCCAAGATTGATTTTGAAAAAAGAGACTGCTAAAAATAAAAACATAAGAGGTTTTTGGACAAAGTTTGTGTTCTCCATTCTTTAAGCACCGGCACCTTTTCAAAAGTACCGGTTTGGCACCGGTATCTGATAAAACCTAAACAATACCCATCCCTAATCAGAGTACATTAGCCAGGTGTTGGCAGTAGTTTCTACTTGTGAAAGAGTTTCCTAAAATAACTGAATATATAGATATATAACATATTTTATACCTGGCAAACAGTATATATGATATGATACAGAGCATATATGCTGCACAGGACACATGTCCATGTCCTAGCTCTTGTAAAGGCTGACATATATGAGATGTTATACTGCAAACACGAGGCCCAGGCTGATCACGGTCTTTCACTGAAGAGCCACGGCTGTCATTAACAACAATGGGGTTATGCAGTGCTCTGTTATCATGTTTAAAACAGGAAGAAGCTCCAGAGGAGACGCCGTCTCCATCCGATTAGCACAGATGCTCACATGAAGCTAAAACCCTGACGACATGTGGGGGAAGATAAATGATCAGGATCAGGGAGGAGGTGCAGTACAGGTGTGTGACATGGTCCAGTAAACACAGGG